TACCAGCCACGACATCGGGCGCTGCGCGGACCTCCTCCGCGGTCAACTGAAAGGCTCTCCCACGTGCCCTCGGCGCCTCGGCCTTTACTGGCCGACTCTCGGTAGCTCTGATGGTGGCAGGGGCAGATCCCTGAAGTGCTCCCTGAGCTGATCCCCGCAACTGCGGACATTCCGCCTTCCGGTGTCCGGTCTGGTTGCAGTGAAAACATATTGCAAACCCTTTGGGGCAGTCCTTGGCCATATGCCCCTCCTTGCCACATTTGTAGCAAGATCCAGCTCTACATACTCCATCATGATCCTTGTCGCACTTTCCACAAGTGCAGCCCTTCTGGCTCCCTGATTTGGGATCAGCGGACTTGGCCCGCTTGGCTGTCGGCTCAAATTGTGCTGGTCGCCGATCCCTCCCTTGAGACTCAGCCTCCTCCCTAGCTTGAGTCTCCAGCTCAATCTCCCTCTTCCGGGTATTTTCCTGAAGCTTAGCAAATGTACGGTACGAGGAGTTCGCCACGAACTCCCGAATGTCTCGCCTCAAGATACTCAAATACCGACTCATACGTGCCTGCTCAGTGGACACGTGCTCAGGGCAGAACATCGCCCTCTCGTGGAACATCGTGGTAATCACCGTAACAGACTTAGTGCCCTGCTTGAGGGTCAGAAACTCCTGGGCCAAACGCTCCCTCTCCACCTGAGTAATGTACTAATCTCGAAACATGGCAGTGAACCTCTCCCAGGTCACCGCCGCAAGCTCAGCAGGCGAAAAGTGCGCTGTCACAAACTTCCACCAGTCCTTCGCTCCCAAGCGAAGCTAGTTCAGCGCGAACCGTACTTTCAAATGCTCAGGAGATGAGCAAGTGAAGAAACACCCCTCCATGTCAGAAATCCATCTCATAGCAGCCACCAGGTCCTGTGTCCCATCAAACTCTGGTGGTTTCGTGTTGCTGAACTCCCGGAATAGCAACGCATCACCACCCTGCGGCCTCGCAGCAGCAACAGCTGCGGTGGCTGCCGCAACAGCAGCCTCAGAAAGAGCAGCATAATGGTCGTCGAAAGTCTCAATCAGCGTCGTCTTAATAGACCCGAACATCTCTGGTATCTCTGCCCTGATGGCCGCAACCACCTCCTTGTGGATGATCTGATGGGTCTCCTCATCACTAGCCCCAACGCCCTCTGGCATATGACGTGTCCTCACCATGATCAACATCTGAAATACAACATACGATAAATTATAATCCATTCGAGTATACTCACACTCGACAACTCATCCCTCCTTGATCCTTGGCATTCCGAAGATTCTTACTCGGACCGTACTACGCCCCGGTGCTTTCAGTAGTACGGGCCCAACACTACTGTCCACACCTTTTCAGTATACACCTCGAATCCTCCTCTTCAAATCCCAATTTCCAAGTACTCTATCACTTTCCAACAGATCTCTCATAAGCTCCTTGTTGCTACCTATTCACTCTCAAGCATCTCATAGCAGCTCACCCCTCCCTAGGCTAAGGCATCACAAATTAGGGCACTCTAGTCCTAATAGGAATACCTAGCCTACTTTAGCAAGCGAATATATCATTATCAATCTCATAAACATATAATATAAGGGTATTTTGGGAAATGACCATTCGGGCGCTGACGGATCGTACACACGTTTCTTCTCAAAATTTCTCTAAAAATCTTTTACTTTTAGAAAATTTGGTTCTCTTTTAAAAATATTTTCCAAATCCTCAGTTTGAGTTCAAATACTCCTGAAGGTGTACCCGAATCCCTTAAACCAAGGCTCTGATACCAACTAAGGTTGACTATCCCTTAACGAGTCAACATAGGTCAACATTGGTCAATGGTCAACGGTCAACTTTGACCAGACTCGGCGAGTGCACTATAGCAACTCGGTGAGTTGATGCGCATACACTGATTTCCCTGGGATCCTCACTTGACACGACGAGTATTCTCCTAGCTCGACGAGTTCCACCTGGCATGAGTTGTGGGACCTCCACGACTCAACTCGCCGAGTCTCAAGAACAAGTCGGCGAGTCCCAGTTTGACTCAGTCCACCTATCAACCCACTATGACTCTCTCTGACTCACTGAGTCAATCCCTTAACTTGGCAAGACCACTCGCTGAGTGGTGCTGGGCAATCTTCATGCTACTCGCCGAGTCTGTTCTTCGGACTCGGCGAGTCCATGCCATGCAACAACTTAAACTCACTCCTGAGGTCAGATCTGTTCCATACATTCATAGATATGGCCTCCCCAAGCATGATAATCACGTAAAGTCCAAACCTTGGGGCTCAAACAACAACTATTTGCTCATAAATGATGTTTTAGCCCCATATCTCATAAATCTAAGCCAATACTCTCATGAACACTCATAAATCATAAGGAATACAACTCTTCTAGACCTCTATGGATCTCATCTCAAACCTTATCATGATTAGGGACGAAATGGACATCAAATCTAGCCAACCAAGGGGTCAAGAAACCCTAAACCCCCATGTTCATCATAAAAACGTTAAAGGAAGCCAAGATATACCTCCAAGATGATGCTCTGAGCTCCAAAATCGCAGAATGTCCACTTCCCTTGCCTTCTCTTAGCTAGAATCTCCTTTGCCTTGCCAAACCAAGCTCCAAAGGTCAATAATGGCCTCTTTTCTCTCCCAAAACGCTCAAATCTCTTTAGGGTTTCTCTCTAGGGGTTGGTGGCCGCAAATGATGGCCATAAGCCCCTTTAAATAGGTCTCAAACCCTAGGAATTAGGGTTTCATTACACAGCGTGGACTCGCCAAGTCCACTCTTGGACTCGCCGAGTCCAGACGCGAACCCGCGTCCAAAATCATGATCCTAGTCAGCGAGTTTGAGCTCCAAATCACCGATTCCACTCACAATTCTCCAAAAATACACCAATAATAAATACCTGGAAATTTCAGGCTGTTACACATGCATGGGTGTTGGTTGTGGGTTTGGACCTCATTTGGTCATGTCCATAGTGTTGGTTGTGGGTTTGGACCTCAATGGGTCATGCATGGGTGTTTGTTGTGGGTTTGGACCTCCTTTGGTCATGTCCATAGTGTTGGTTGTGGGTTTGGACCTCATTTGGTTATCTATGGGTGTTTGTTGTGGGTTTGGACCTCATTGGGTCATGCATGGGTGTTGGTGACCTCATTTGGTCATGTATAGGTGTTGGTTGTGGGTTTGGACCTCATTTGGTCATGCATGGGTGTTGTTTGTGGGTTTGGACCTCATTTGGTCGTGTCCATAGTTTTGGTTGTGGGTTTGGACCTCATTTGGTCATGTCCATAGTTTTGGTTGTGGGTTTGGACCTCATTTGGTCATGTCCATAGTTTTGGTTGTGGGTTTGGACCAAATTACGCCTACTATACCATATTATTATTTTTGTTATATAAAAATATTTTTCCCTTGTATATATAATTTTTTTAATCTTATATATTTTTTTATTTCAAATAGTCATGAATGTTTTTCCAGAAAATAAATTGTTAACTTATAAGGACCAAATATGTAATATTTATATTCTTACCAAATAAATCATACTAATTTTTGAAAATGCACGACAAGTTTCCAAACCACGATTTTTTCTTCTAATCGTGTGGGATTACTATGAGATCAAAATTTGAAACACGTTTGAATCTGTCAAACGAATTTAAACAAAAACTAATGAGAGGCAAATATTTTTTTGTATGATCTTTTGGGCTCCAAATCAAAGTAGGAAATCTTTATCTATCACACCGCCAAAACTGTGAAGATCAATCCATCGGATGAAGGAAATCCCAGTAATTTTTGGTAACCTCCATCAATTTAGGACATGTTATATCATTTTAATATTTAATAGACTTTCATTTATTCCACCATTGTTTTGTTTAGCGTTTGGTTATATCCCAGAAGGATCATACTTCAGTTCATCATTCATCAATCTTTCTAGTCTAAGTATATTGTTTGTGTACGTATAGTTTCAATGTTATTGATTGTATTGATCACGAACCATGCATAACACAAAGAATTTTGATTCTTCATATTGATGTGCTTCTTGCACACAAACTATTCGATGAAATGTTTATGTGAGCAATTGTCTGTAATATTATTTGTTCATACATTATCATCAAACTTATAAACAATCTAACTTATTTTCCATCTGTTTTATCAACAGAAGAATCATGGAGGTTGACAAGGAACAACATGAGGATATACCTGACTATAATACATAATATGAGCTAGATGATGGAAAACAAGAATCAGATTCGCCTACAGAGAATGGTGAAAATAAAGACATTCACTACAACAGCCAATCAGATTCGGAAGAAGAAATCCACAAAACAGTTCCTTCAAAATCAGATAGGAAGAGGGGCATGAATCGATTGCCAAAACTGAAGACTAAATATGTCAATTCTGGTGGAAAAAAAACGTGTCAGGTTTGATGAATTTAGTAAGTTTACAGGGAAGAATAATGCAGTCTTTGTTAGCTATTTGGGTGATCTTGTCCGCGAGAAAGTGAGATTAAGTGCTCCTTACTGAAAAAAAAAATTAAACCGGAAATGAAGGACAAACTATGGGAAGAGATAACAATAAATATTTTCTTCAATTTTTTAATCAGTATAACATAATATATGTAAAAATCAAGTTTTAAATACTAACATTCTCATTGTTTTTTTAGCGCTATTTTGAGGTTCACGAAAGTGGAAAACAATTTGTGATGAATAGACTTGGTATTCTTCTACGGAATTTTAGAAGAAAGTTGTATGCAGATTACATCAAACCACATCTAGGCGATACCGATATGCTTGAAAAAATCCCAGTTCGTTATCGTGCACTAATCACTGAACAAGATGATTGGAACAAATTTGTGACTTATACACAATCTCAAGAGTTTAATGTTAAAATCTTTTTTCAAAACTTATTCATCTATTTATCATAATCTGGGTTCTAAAAGTTCGTGACAAATATGTTACTTTTAATTCACAAAATGTGTCACAAAGGACTATCAAAGCGAGAAAGATGTCAAAGTATGATCATCAGATGAGACAAGGGGGGTATACAACTCTTAGGAGGAAGTTGGTAAGCTACCATAACTTCATATCATTTTATTTAACATGATTTTGTTTCATATTCTTTATAATTTAATTTTTTTTTATCAAAGATTGAAGAGAATGTGATTTCAAAGGAGGAAATTCCCCTAAGGTCAGTTATGTGGTCTAAAGGGCGTGAAAGTAAAGGAGAATTTAAGGATGAAGATGTTGAAATCATGGCTGATAAACTAGTAACTTCAATACACTTTTCTTTTTCTTTTACTTTAAATATTTTAATCATTGATATTAACACAATAATTATTAATTTATTGTTTGGTAGATGGAACATAAGAAGCAAATAAAAGAAGGACAAGTAAATGTTGAACCAGGAACGGATGCCATGACCTTAGTTTTTGGAAAGGAAAATGGCGGATTTTTAAAGGGTGTCGGCACGGTAGTCACTTACAACAGATATTTCAATGTTCCTCGTAGCAAAGGATCATCTAAGGAAGAAATAAAAGATTTAAAAGTTGCACTGCATAATGGAAAACTTAAGCTTGAGAAAAAAGATGTTGAACTCAAGGCTTTGTCTACAAAGGTTAATGAACAAGATCAAACACTAAAGCTAGTTTTGGCTCATCTTAATGCAAAAGGAGCTGACTTTCCAAATCTGTCTCATACAATTGTAAGTAATCTTATTGAAAATATTTGTTATCAATGTTAGTTCTAAATTGCATTTCTTTTAAACATTTTTCCTGTTTCTTTATATTTTCTAGGGTATTTCAAGTGAGAAGATTGTACAGAGTAATGAAACGTCTCCTGTTAGTCTAAAAAACAATGAACCTTCAGAACTTGTAACACCAGTATGTTATCGTCTTATTAGATCAACGTTGATATATATATATATATATATATATATATATATATATATATATATATATATATATATATATATTTGTTTGATACTGATTTCTGATTTTTCATGTTGGACTTTATATTATGTAGGTTATTCCAAAACCCAACAAAAAAACTGTTCAAACGAAATCTGCAACTGCAGCACCTGATGCAAAATTGATTTCCATGAAATCTGCAACAGTAGTATATACTAACTTTACAGTTTTCAATACTTTTATTTAATCTTTTTTATTAAAATATATGTTTAAATATGTCTTAAATCTTGATATCAGGCAAATACAAAAACCACCAACAAAACTGTTGAGTCTAAGACTACCAATATCAATCAAAACATACCAAAAGTTTCATCAAATAATCCCATTCACCAGGTCAGTGTTTTTTTACATGATGAATATACATTTCTGTTATTTTTTTTCTAGATTATAACATTACTTGTCATTGTAGCCAATCAAGTGTAGTCTATCATATCCGTATAAAAGGAACATCGTTGCCCACGGTACCATTCACTTGTCATCAGAAAGAGAATTCATTCATGGAGTTCCTCTACAAGATGATTGCTATAAAGTTTCCATTGATGAAGTGGTTGTAAAAACTGCATTTCTACCCCATCAAACTGGAGAATTCAAATTAGTTGAGGATGCATATAAAAGTTTTGTTCCATGGCCAAAATACTTTGTGCACACCGAGTCAGAGGTTTGTTTCAATATGTCCAATACTTTTTGAATTAAACTTTATTTTCTTCATAAAGTACTATACTAAGTTTATGATGAATTAATTTTATTGGTTTCAATGTTGTTGTTATAGGTACCAGAAATTATATCACATCAAAAATCAACAAAAAGGAAACCAACTTACATATCATCTAATGCCCTTACGAAGAAGACAAGGAGCAATACAAACAAAAATAATGCCTAGCTAGTTATGTTTAGATTTTGGTTTATGATGTCTTTGTTTTTTTAACCAATATATAAATTCTTTAAATTACGCAAATTTTCCTTTCTTTGATATTTTAATTAGGAATGTAATGCATATATGGATTTCGATTTCAATTATTATTAATATAAAATTATGAATTTTGTTTGTGTTTCATATTGTTGTGTTTCGTTACTTTAATTTAAAGTATTTTCATGTGTCTAAAATGTATAAAAAGTAACAGTAAATAGTAAGTTATAGTGGCTGTAGTATGATTTTTGTCATGTTATATGCGTTTTTAATGTCTCTAAAAATATACAATGGTTACTTTACATCAATTTGTAACGTGTGGCTAAATGGTTAACAATAGTCATAATATATAAGAATTATGAGACTACAATTGATTTAAAGTGATGTTTATTAAAAAAAATTGTCACTAAGTTAAACAATAACAATATGGAAAACAATATATGTGGCAAATAAATACCATAATTGATTATTGTTGAGACTAAATACTAGGAAATCGTCACATAGATCATTAACTATATGTGTCCATTTACAGAACACAGACATGTTTAACGTAAATTAAATGTGTCTAAAATATACCCAATAGTCTTAATACAATACCAAATTTTCCTTAATTTTAACAAAATGTGTGACTTTATAATACTTATGATTTTAATTCACTTCTTCGTTTATCTCTATACGTTAGGTTATAGTCACAAATGTTGATTGTTTTTTGTGACTAATAATTAGCAATTCATCACATATGTAAGTAAAGTACGTGTGACTATTTAGCAAATATGGTCACACTTACCATAATTAAAAATTTACAAAAGATACACAATAGTCTTAATAAAATTTAAATTATGTGATCATATGTAAGAAAAAAAAACTACATTAAAACATCATGAATGTCACATTTTTGTGATATACAGTCACAATGTTAAATAAATATGTGTGACTAATAACTCTTTAACGCTACAATATTATATATTTAAGGAACAAAATTCCGTACACATTTGTCACACAATGTGTACACTTTTATACTGAGGTTACATGTTTTCATAGCATACAAACACTACAATTTAAAGTGACCATAAGACTCATACGATGGCGTCACTTTCAGTGGAAAAAAAAAATGTCACTGTACGCATATAGTCACACTTTTTTGGTGTGACTATAAGTCATTTTTCTTGTAGTGGCCTCCTCTAATTGGCTTCTATCAATTTGCGTTGTTACTATCTCCACCCTTGCCCCGTGCACTCTAAGGAAGACTTAAAATGGACGGTGAACTTTAAGAATAATGAGCTTTAGCTGATTGTGCCGTTGTGGACTTGTAATTCTATTAGAAGAGATGAATTAAGGGGGTTCATTCTGTTCCCTTACTAGCTCCAAAACTACGGCCAAGTGAACAGCTCAACCTAGTAACCTCTTTAACTCGTGTAATTATTTGTTTGTTTGAACTTATTATCCAACTTGTCCATTTCAAGAACTCTAGTGTTAGCCATTCATGACGTACATGTAAAATGAAATCTAAAAGAGTACCATTTATTGAAATTTATGCAATAACTACAAACATATTAAAACGACAATGGAATTAAAAGTTGCACTCTTGAATATACATACACCTTTATATAGTTAAACATTGTAATCTAGTTTTAGTAGTTAGAAGAAACAACTCGAGATTATCGTCTTCAAGGTTAGATCCCATTAGATGAATCGTATGAAATCAATCAAGTCCACTACAGTAAAAAAAACAGAAACCAACCACTGTAAATACATTATTAATCAGTTTTTTTTTTCTTTTCTTGCGTACTTGTATTGAGTTGACCAAACAATACATGCACCTAAAATGATTAGTCTGATCTGTGTATAGTTGTTCGAGCATGCAATGATGGTGTCATGAAATGCTAAATATAGAAAACGATTTGGAGTGTTATGAATGAAAAACGACGAAAAGTAAATTGTTGAATGAAATTGGCAATGGAAACTCACGAGCAACGATCCAACACAAATTGTTTCTCCTTTGTTTCTACTTTTAGAATCTTACGAACCCACAACCATCACATTGCACCTTTTACTTTCACTTTCCCATCCACAATGTATCTTTACAACCTCTTTATCCTTTCTAAAAATGGAATGCATCATTTTGTTAAGAAAAATATGTGTAAAAAGCATGCAATGAGATATGTATGTTTTCGTAATGATTGTATTTAGAGATGTCAGTTTAATGTTCACTTATTAATAAGTCATTTTTGTAATATTTTATCTTTCATATATCAAAATTAAGTTGTAGTTAAAAGAAAGCTAAAAACTAACATCTCACATAAATCCGGTGAAAAACGGCATGCAACCCTATCATCAATATATTATCAAATCCCACAAAAAGTTACTAAGTTTTTGTAAAAATTCGATAGAACACAACGTTTATTCTAGTCTCTAACTTGACGTTTATTATGCTGATTTGTTATAATTTTTTATCACTTAACCGGTCAAACAAATTACAAACTAACGTTGTATGTTGAGGTATGATGATGTGACATACTGATATAATATGATCACGTGATACTATTTTTTGATATCATATTATAGGTCTCAAAATTGAAAAAAAAAATCTAATATGTAATGAATTTTATGATAGTTATCCTATATATTGTGAATTCTGTGAAGTTTTCCAACTATTTTGTGAAATTTCCAAAATATGGCAATTTTTATGATAGTTATCCAAAATATAATGAATTAGTTGACTAATACATGTAGATCATTTAAAAGTAAAAAATCAATAATCTAAGGTCACTTTATAAATCAATTAGTTGACTAAGTGTTACTAGACTAGTGAAAACAAGATAAACTATCATTATAACATTTATGTTTCGTACGATGCGAGTAAGAGTCATCTTTGTTGACCATGGAACCGCAACATTAGGAATTGCTCTATCTCCTAGTCAGTATTCACAACCCCTTTTACTTTTTTCATAATTTTGGAGTGACAAGCATGTCGACTAAGTTACAAACTGTTATACAATTGTATGCATTCTTGAACAATTATCGATGTACATGTATGTATTCTTTTTTACGCTTTTGCTGTATGCCTGAGATGCTATCGTATGCTAAATCCCTAGAAACTAAATACAACCTATTAACTCACTTTTGAGCTGATGGTCATAATGGATGGTGTTATGTGGGGTTGATGTCCCTACTCACGCTACAAAGTGAGTGCATATTACCAACATATTCCCTGATAGGTTTTATATGTTACAATTTTTTTTTTTTGCGGAAAAACATAAACCCTAAGTTCAAATGCACCCTAAAATGATCAAATATTTCTTTGTTCTTCTAGATATCATATGGATATGAGTCATGGATTAGAATCACAATCATTATCCAGAATTCTATTTCCCGATTTCCTTATTTGTGACGATGTCATAAGACTTCTAATTGAACATATCAATTTAGTCCTGGTTGGGCCTAGCACTATAAGTCAACACCAAATCACTGATGGGCCCATACATATCGCTTTCCCGTTTAGGAAAAAGGAACAAATAAACTTTGACTCATATTATTGTATCTTTTACTCACCAAATCGCACATGATACTATGTTTTATAACATCAAGTTACTAATGCATTTTTGCAATACCAATATACATCCGACTTGCAAATTACAACTCATATATCTCAATTTTAAGAATATATAAGATATTGTCATATCAGAATTACTCGTGATATAATCCATGCAGTAATTCTTTGAGCGTGGGTTTATCTAATACTCAAATCTCCATTTTGTAAGTACTCATGAATGTTATAGCAACACAATTTCTATGCCTAAACTCCTTAGAAAATCTACAATCTAATTCATGACATACTTCATTCACTACTTACTTCCTAAAGTATGAGCAACTGTTGAGTTTTGAATAATTAAATTATCCAGGAAGTAAAACATGCAAAGTAAAACACAATAATAAACTAATTAATTATGGTCTAAAAACTGTTGAATATAAATAATCTCCATTATTTAATTACCATAAATATTACGACTTTATTCATTGTAAAATGTTTTGAGTAATCAACTAACTACTTGAATCAAACATCAGTCATGCCATGTTATTAACATGCATACTATGCATCTTTATGGTCCTTCCTTTGTGAACAGATCAACTAGATAATATTCCAATGATGCTCATTTCACAATTCTAAATTCTTGTCACTATCTAAAACATATTAGAATTCCAACTTTACGTGTGTTAACCTTCTATGATGTCGAGACTTCTAACTCACAGAGACTGAGTTAACGATACCACAAAATGTCCCATTGGAACTTTCTTAGTAGAAACAATTCCATGGTAATAAATTCTCAAATTCATGGTACACTCCTTGAACACTTCTCTTGCATTAAATTTTCTAACTCACGTGTAGATTTAATAATCAACTTTTATTATGGAAGCATTTCCAAATTCTCATATGACCATCAATTTTGACCAAGAATCATCTCAATATAAAACATGTCACTATGGTCCTCCCAAACAATATCATACTTCTAACTGTCCCCAAGCAACCAATCTTCAATAAACCTCAGAATGCTCTTGATATTTTTTTAACAACTCTAGCCACACAAAAAATTCTAATTCTTTTTCATCTCAATGCTCAAGGCATTTGGAAAAAAAAAAAACAAGTGAATATTATTGTATATGTAATCGATCCTATATCTAAAGCATATGGGACTCGATTCATTATGTCTTACATAAGGATTTGATATTTGTTCTATCTCTTGTTATAACATTTCCATATATTGAATTTACTATGTTGAACTATTTCAACATGATATTCACATATGTGTATGACTAAGTTTTATTAAACTATACAATCTAATCCTTTAGATTCGAAACAAAGTATGAGTGTCCTCACTCTTAAGTCTATTATAATGAAACAATTACCAAACTTTGCAATTTTGCAAATTGGAAACTTTATTCCCTACACACAGTATTATTAACATGCCATAATA